CTCCGGGGCTGTAGCTGGTGGCAGCACCCTGAGCCTGGCAGTGTCCCCGGCAGAGCTGGGGCACGGCACACGGTCCTCCACAGCATGGGGTGTGAGGGGGCTGAGATTTGATGATGACTTTCTGCTGTTTGCAAGGGTATCATCTCTGGAGGCTTTGTTTGGGAAGGTCTGTGCCATTGCTCAGCTGGAGGGGTGGTGTTTGGGGAGACGGAGGCTTGCAAAGGAGCTGTGGGGTTGTCTGAAAGCCAAAAGCTTGACTCTGCCTTCTCTCCAAAGAGAATTTTAACTCTGCGCCTGAGGATTGCACCTCTTTCTGGACATCTGAAATAGCGTGATCATCCTGGAGCTCCTGGAGCTGCTGCTCCAGTGGGCTCCTGATTCCTTCTGACAAAGCTTTGCAAGCAGCAGCCTGGGTCCAACCAGTCTGGTTTATCCATAGCCCAGCAAGTGGATCCCTTTGGGATCCCTCTGTGGTAGCACCTGTAAAAAAGGTCCTCGCCACCACGTGTCTTGGTGCTCTGCATGCAAGGACAGAGGATGGACGGAGTCCTGCAGGAGCTGCTCTCCAGCCGCGATGAGACACGGCAGCTCAGCTGGTGGAGATGGACTCAGCTGGTGGTTGGCAGCTCGTGTCTATGGACAGCCAGGGAGATTTATGAGATAAAGTGGAAGAAATTAAAGCACTCGGCTACCGGTCAGAGTTTGGCTTTGCTTTTAGTTGGCTGTTCATGAAACTGTCATGGTCAGGTAGTGCTTTGTGTAAGCAAAGACAGTGATCTCTGGAAGAGCATCCAGACTTGTTTTCCCTTGGCTGAGAGCTCCACAGCCCTCGTTGTCACCTCTATACTTGTAGCTGCTGCTGAAAATGTTTTCTGTTGCCCTCCGGGCCCCTCCTGCTCGCTCCCCGCTGGGCTCTGGGGCTGTGCGAGGCCGGTGGGCGGCACTGCCCACCCTGCTCCTGCCCAGGATGCGACCCTACCCAGCGCAGGGTGGCTTTAACAAAGACAGGGGACATGAAAATAAAAGGGACCAAGACTTAGGGTATCTTAAGCCACAGCTGCAGAGCCCCTTCCATGCCTGGACGGTTGGTCGTAGCCCCACGGCCGCCTCCTCACGCCCCTGCGCTGCTCTCAGGGCTGTACCCGCTGGGCTCCTCTCCTCGGGCCCGGCCTCTCCCCAGCTGGTGCGCATGGAGCTGTCTGAGCGCTGAGATACGGCTGCTGCCTAAGTGCAAAATGTAATTACGCTTTCTCCTTTCGTTTGCGGACAGCATTTTGCTTTGGTTACTTGCACGTCTTCACGTATAATGATGGGAGCAGCTATTTATCAGCACGAAAGCGTGGTGCGAGCCGGGGAAGGGCTAAGCCAGCTGCTGTACGGCCCTTCAGATTTAAAAATAGCTTTTATTCGCTTCTCTGTTAACTCTTGCCCTCTGGTTCCTGAGGATGCTTCAGCTCCTGCCATCTGCTAAGGATGCTGATGAACAGGAAACGGTAATTTTGCACATTGAGATGTTGAGCATAAGCTGCTTTTAGTAGCTCCAGGCGCCCTGTTAATTAAATCACCGGACTCCGCAGGGCCTCCCTGTGGCGCTGCCGTGTGCCGACGGGCACGGCGAGGCAACCGCCGCCTGCCCGAAACCCCCAGCTGATGAGATGCAGAGAGGCTGCGGCGAGTAGCTGGGAAGCTGTTTATAAAATATTTCTTCCCCCAGGTGGGTTTTTAATTGGCTGGCTGGGTTTTGGTTTGCTCTGCTTCTCTAGCATCAGATGTGAGTAATTGGGATGGGGAGAAAAAAATTATATATACTTTTTTTTTTTTTTTTTTAAAACGATCACAC